TAACAACGACAATACCGTAGCTGTCATTATCCTGAAAATCTAGATGATAAAAATAGGGGCCGGTTCTTTCTCTGTCCCTCAATTGGCTTGCGTGCTTTTAATGAATATGCATATGTCTGGAATTTTCAATGGCTAAGCCTCTAAACGTCCTTTCTTCAAAACCGCTCTATGCACAAAATGGACACAATTTAAAAAATACCAAAAAAGGTTCAAAACCATTTCAAATGTGGACAACCCGTATTAAGAAAGTAATAATACGAAAAAAGAAAATGTTAAATTCTAAAAGAAAGAAAGAAAGACCGCTAATTTTATCAACTCAGTACTTCGACGTGACGTAACAGTTAGAAAGATTGTCACGCCATGGCAATTGTTACTTAGTTTATTCCTCACTGAATGCTCAAAATTATCGGCCTTGTGCCACATCTAAAAAAGTATAAAAAATTATTTTTTTAAATTTCTTTTTTCTACAAATATTTCCTGGTCATCATGAAACGTATAGAATGAACTTTCTCGTCACACCTTTATTTTTTTAAATAAATGGACTCACCCAGTATATACATTTATACTAATTTATTTTCTGTGTTTTTTAAGAGAAATGAATCAGTCAGAATTCTGATTTAATTTAAATTTTTTTTATTGAATTTCAAACTCTTTAGTAATTAATTAAGAGGAACCCTCAATTTGCATGTTATGCCGATTCAAAAAGGTTTCGTTTACGAGGTAGACATTTAATCCGTCAAATATTTTCTCTAAAAGGCTATAATTTTTTAGCTGGTCTACGGCTCAGGGATATCCAACTAAACCGGCCTTCTGCCATATTCAATCCTTTGGGTGAAACACCGATAAATAAACAAAAAGACCAAAGAGTCGAGTTCAAATTGACAGATTAAGGTTGTAGGTAATTCATAGAGATAAAAATGAAATAACAATTGTACGTTTAAGAGTGAGCACGTAGCAAAAAAAAGTGAAGTCATAAAATATAATTCAAAATAGAGAACGTAAAATTGATTCAGGAAGTATTTCATTTAACATGATTACGATTTCAAAATCAGTGAACAGAAATGTCAATTCTTTTGGATAAGATCCTAAAAATTTATAATGTCCTTCAGAGGATATAAAAAACATAACTTAATTTTTCCTTTGTCTTTATTCAAAAAAAAAAAAAAAACTATTATTTAAACAAGAAATATATAAAAAAGTAATAACCATCCTATAGTTTTAAAAATAAAAAAAATAAAATTATTCGAAAAATTAAAATAAAAAAGTCCTATCTATGATATATTAAAATAACATTTTTCTGGATTTTTTTTTTCAGAACTGAAATAGGGTAAAAAAATCTATCTTTTTTGAAAAGAATATTATGAAAAGAAGAAATATCGACGATGTTCTACATAACGTCCATGACCTGCCGCATACAGGCGTATTCTCACGCATGACACATAAAGACTGTTTAAAAAAACAATAAACATGCCATATACACATACACACACACACAAAGAAGAAAAAAAAATTATTAACCAATAAAAAGCAAAATTATTCTTAAACTTCAAATCAGCAGATGGTAAATATATCCTGAAATGAGTGGAACGAAGGATTAGAAAAATGTTATATCAACGAAAAAAAAAACTGGATATAACATCAATCAATAAAAGTACAAATTTTATATTTGATATATTAACCTGCAATATTTATATATATATATATATATATATATATATATATATATATTTCTATATAAAATTTAAAAAAATAAAGAGAAAACTTTTAAATTTTATTTTTTTCTAATACATAATTTTTTTTTCTATTTGATTTTTTCGTCCTTAATCAAAAATTTGAAAATAATCTTTAATTATAATGGTACTATTAAAGTGGTCTGAATTTAAATATTTTGAATAAAAAATTGAAATTTAAAAAATATATCTCAAAGTTTCATATTTTTATATATATAATCAACAATATATATATATATATATATATATATATATATATATAAATATATTATTTTTTATGTAAAAATTTATTTAAATACCTTTTTATACAATTTTGAAATTCAGGTTTCTTCTATAAAAAAAATAAATAAATAATAATAATCTTATTTTATATATAGGTAATTTTCATTAACTGTAAATAAAAATAATTCAAACACAAGATATATCTTTTTAATTTGAATTTTACATAACATAACAGCAAAAACATTTCGATTTTTATTTTCTGCCTTTTGAAAAAGTCGGAAGACGAAGAGAAATAAAATCTATGATTTTTCCATTTTTCATTTGATACCATATATATATATAAATATATATATATATGAATTGAGAAATATAACAAATGTTAAAAATCAATAAATATCCTTTCATTTTTTAAAAATAAAGGGAAAAAGAGAGTAATATATTATTATTTAATTTTCTATTAAAGATTATAATAAAACATTTTAAAATTATTTAAAAATTTTTTTATTTTTGAAATTCTCTCAATTTTTCTTATATATATATATATATATATATATATTTTATTTTATATTTATTAAATTTGTTTTTTTGATAATAAAATTTCAATGTTTTTATTAAATTTAAAATTTTATTTCCATTTTGAAACATGGTTATTAGTATTAAGGTTTATTTTATTTATAAATTATTAATTTATAAATATTAATGCTCTATTTAATTTATTTTTGAGCACTGTTTTACAAATAATAAAAATATCATATAAGAACGCCAGATTATATATCTCATAGCTTTTATATATATATATATATATATATATATACAAAATGAGAGAAAAAACAAATTCATTCAAAATCCAAGTTCACAGGCATTTTGTTATTTTAAGAATAAAAAGATATTTTCAATTTAATTGACCAAATTTTTATTTTTTTATTTTATTAAAAATATAATTAAAAATTTTAAACATTTTATGTAAATATGTAAAAATGTTTTTATTGTATTTCATAATACGTACATACATATATATATATATATATTTATCCTATATATATATATATATATATTATATATATGTTTTTTCCCAATGTTTTTATGGCTCGGAAAAGTATGTATTTTTTTCATTCTTTTAAAATAATAATCCGTTTTTTTTTTGTTGAATTATCTATGGTAGTATCTTTTTTAAATAAAAATTTCTGAGGAACAAAACAATCAAAATATTCTTTATCCGGCAATTTTTGAGTGCCCAGTGAATAATTTATTTTCAATTAACAAAAATACCAAATATTCAAGCACCTCTTAAAACGAACTCATATAAATAAACATTTCTCCATATATATATATATCCAATATATATATTATTATAATGAATACTATATTTAGGAGGGTTGTTTTTTAAATTTGAATGATCGACCCAGTTCTAAAAATCTGGCCAAACATCGACGCCGGAGTTTTTTTTAAAAATTCATATTCAGGCTTATTTTAAATCATGAAAATTAAACCAAACCGTCTTTGCAAGTTTACGATTCTGATTTCGAGCGTTGCCATACCCAATCTAAATTTTTAAACGGGTATCGCGAATTTTTTAATCAAACAAATTTCATAAAAGTACCTTGCTCAGATGTTTCAACGTTAAATTTTATGTATTAATATATGACATTTGATATTTTTTGAATTTGAATTTCAAATCGGCGTTTTAGTAACCAAATTATATCTGGCAAATATTTTTAACAAATTCATATGTATAAATATCGTATTTAATGTATAAAAGACTTCTCACATTTGTTTATAATTTTCTTATTTTTTAATGAATCAGTTATTCTTAGAAAGAAAAAACAATGCAGACGTCAGACAAAACCAACCTATTTTTTCTTTTCTTTTCAGGCCCTTTTTTTTTTTTTTTTTAGCTTGTTATATATTTATATTGATTAAAACTTTGATCGATATCTCATTTTCAAATTATTTCTATGCAATCAAATGAGATCGCATTAATAAAATAGATATTTAACATCACTTTTGGTGTCGTAAGACATAAAAATACCAAAACTTTCACAGCAAAAAAATTTAAATATATATATATATATATATATATATATATATATATATATATATATATATATATATATATAGAAAAAGAGGCAACTTTACGTCTAGCCACACTGATGAGCTGTGATACAGCGAAATAGTCTGTCTGTGGATGACAATATATATATGCTCCTGAAAAATTTATTTCAGTTGAGCTCTCTATTTAGGAGGAAGTGTGGGTTTGTAAACAGTGACTATTACGGCTAATAATGCAAGACTCTTCGGTAAATCGAATCGAGTTCTCTCAGTCACTGTGTGTTTATCTAAAAATAAATACGCTTAAATTCACCTTCATCCCTGCCGTGCGCCAACGGCTTAGTGGTAAAATCCCCGACTGACGCCAATTCAGTCGGGTTTCGATCCTAGCTAGAGGCAACCGGACGTCTAGCCACACTGATGAGCTGTGATACAGCGAAACAGTCTGTCTGTGGATGACAATATATATATATATATATATATATATAATATATATATATATATATATAAAAATGTAAACTTATGGGGAGGAGTTCCCATAAAAAAGGAAAAATATATACATATAAATGCATGTCCTTCTGTTTTTGAGTTATTGTTTAAAGTCCGTCGAAAATTGAACACTGTAACACTTGAAAAATTCAAAATGTCTTCCACTATCAAACACACGCACCCGTCAGATCAATGACTGGTGGACTCTTTGACATAAATCCAATAGTTTGGGTGCCAACAAATCAAAAATCAAAGGGTTGAAATATTCTATACAGGTCATGGAACCGGCCCTATATATCTATATATATATATATATATATGAATATCCTGGCAATTTTAAACAATTCACAGTTAATATAAAATATAAATTGAAGATTTATAGTCCGAAATGTATACGAATGATTCCATATATATATATAGCAACAAAACTTTATACCCATTACTTTCTTTTTTGAAAAATCTATAATTTTTTGGAAGATGTTTATATGGATTTTTTTTTGTTTGGTGTCA